AGCAGCTCAGGTCGACATGGCTTTAACTTTGGAGATGATCTGCCTTCTAAGCTAAAGCACATTTATGATTTGCAGGTTTCTAGTCTGACTTGGCTTCATTTTTTAACTTTTCATTTTCTTTTTAGAGAACCAAATTGTTCACTGGGTTTGGCAGCTGACGGCTATTAACTGTCACACTCCAATAACCAAGGGATAGTTAGAACAGCATTAAATATTTGCACTGTGCAGCAAGGCTATACTTCATCTCGGTACACATGAATCCCATGCTCTTTTCACACTGGAAGAAAAACTACCTTATTGCTATTCAAATCTATCTGTCTGTCTCTTTTCCCATATTGTCATTACGCATGCAAGGCCTGTCAGTGCCAGTGACACAAAAACCCCTCTCGCTTTATGCCAACATCGGTGACACCTGAAAAAACCCCTCAAGACACAAAAGAATTACTGCTTTTAAAAATCTTGTTTATGTGGCTTTCATTTTCTAATAAGGTTGTTTATTCCATGTCTTTATGAAAGTGTCTATTCTGCCCTGCAAGGGTGCATGTTTTCTCTCACAGGAAGTTTATGGATAATTCCATGCAAAAAGTGGGGTTTGGTAACTGAGTTTTGTCCATTGTGTATGTCCCTGGTTAAATTGTGAAGCTTTGTTTCGAGCAGTTTTTTCTCCTCATTGTCTTAACTGCCATTTTGAGTCTAATCTTTTAGGAAATATCCTACATAGGCACTCCTTGTGGTCTGTTTTTAAAAAGCAAAATTTATTTTGGCCTCTGCAGGAAGCATTTAAAGCACATAATGAATAATGTTTGACACAGGAGTCAGTTAGCAGTCATTTTAGATTAATAACACTGCTCAGAAAAAAACCTTCCAGGGGATTAGACCAAGGGAAAAGATGCTTAAGCAATAACCTCTGAGCTAGTTGGTTGCTGAACTATTCACAATAGACATAACTATCTCTGAAGGTCTTAAGTGTGAGAATTATCTCTGGGAAGAGAACAATGAGTTAGCGAGATATAAAACAATAGGCTCATGCTCTAATACGAGCACTTAGCACTGCACATGTTCTCTTCTCATTTAATCTGCAAGACTTTCAGACAGTAGCAGTTGGTGCCCAAATTAAGACTTCCTCTCTCCCTTTGATCTTATGTAAAAACTAATGAATTGTGTAATCTCCAACACCTCTGAAATCCCGCTGGTTAAAGGGAAACTATCCCTACCTTTCCCATGCCTGTCTCAATTCACTAAATGGGAGCTATATTTAACAGCAGGCCAATCACATGATCGCTGAAAAGGAACAGCACAAGGATCTGTAATCCTAATGCTCTGGAGCTGTGATTGCTATAAATCCTTCGCAGAATGATTTCCTTTAAATCCCAAACATGTCATCATACTTTTAATTAACATTTCTTTATGAAAACTGTGGATAAGACCCTTTAAATTAAAGATTGTTCCTAGACTTGTCATCTTTAAACAGTGTGCATTTCTATTGTCATTTTCATGTAGCATATTTTACTTCACTTTATTAGTAAAGCTTTTTTTCTTTCCTTTTTCATCCTTTTGCCTTCCCTGCTTTAACCCTCAAGCAAGTGGTAACAGCTTGCACTATTTTTAAAGGGTAAACAAATAGCTTTAAATTAGTTCACGTACAAAAGGGAAAATTGAAATAATCAGAAGACCAGCAATGAGTTCGGGAAGATATGAGATGTGGCTGATGCTGCCCTACTGGAATTCTTACCACCTTCATCTCTTGAGTTTACCATCTAATTGAGCTTACCATCTTTAGAGAGAAAGAAATTGCAAGAGGAGAGCGATGTGCCCAAAGTGGATCACCTGCAGAAACAGAAACACAACCTTCATTTCCCGATTCCCAGCTCTCGATTCTTCTCAGCTATTCAGCATGAGGCTTTTTGAATCGCAGGCCTATTTCCTTGCCTGTTGGTCTCAGCAGCATTGCTACCCACTTACGTGGTACTAAAACAAGCCTAAAATGCGTGATGCTGCGCACAGGAGGTACAGTCTTTTGTCCAGAAAAAGGGAAGAGTTTTACCTGAGTGAGGGTGATGTGCTTTGGCCAGTGGCTGGTGGGAAGTGGATTTACAGTATTTGTTTTCCTGAAAGTAACCCAGGTAAGAGCTCTGGGTTTGAATGATGGCTCAAGCTCAGTGACAGACTCACTTCAGTTATCCCATCTGGGATTTGAGACAGTGGCACATGTCACTGGCAGACAACTCTTTCAGTGACGTTTTTCAGGAAGCCCAGTTTTCTAACATGCCTCTGTGTGGAATAAGCTGCTGGAGGACCAAAGAGAGAGAAAGAATGTTTGTGAGAGAGAATATTAAGGATGGCACCATTATCCATTACATAGATTAAAACCCCCCTTCATCAGTGAGAAACAGGGAAGAAATGCAGATCCTGAAAAGAATCCAGAATGAAATCATCAGGCAATTTGACAGCACAAATTGAAATTATTTAGCATGATTTGGCAATACATTTCTAACTATCTATGTATCATCCAGGAATAATCATTGACAGATACTGGAGAAATAATGAATGGCTAAACAGAGCAAGTCAGGCTCTGATGCCCTTCCATGAATTGAGTAGTAGTTTATTCCTCAGCTGCTCCCACTGGCTTCAAACTGTGCTTTGTAGCTGACACTCAAGAGCCAAATGTCAGGAGCCCAAGTCCACCAAGCATGTCAGTGCAAAAGCTCAGAACAGAACCCCTGACTTGACTCTCTTGCATCCTGAATTGGAAACAAGGACTAGCCTAGAGAAAGAAAGGATGAATGATTCCCCTGCTATAACTACCTTCCTTTACAACAGTCATGCTGTCTTGCAGCTTGATTGGTATGGTAAAGAATGTTTATATATTTATATTCTGTTTTAAATGGGCTATAATTATCTGGCCGGAACATGGATAAAGTTTTTCAAACGGAGAGGAAAGTGCCAAGGATACAGAGCAAAGGGAATAGCAAATTTAACCACTAGAGCATTGGCTTTTTCCTTACAGCCAAATTCATGCAATAAGCATGGTGTGGCATATGTGACCATACATATAAGCAGAGACTGCAACACATCCTTCCTCAGCCCACCATCTTTTTTTTTGACTAAAATATATCACATGGATACCTCAGGTTAAAGAATTAAAAATTAACCATGTGATGTAAAAAATAACATTCTTCTGATCAGCCCATGAAGCCTGAAGACCATGCACACTGTAGCCTCTTTCAGTTCTTTTTCACTCCAACATACTCATTCCTCTTCCTCTCTCCTATGCTAGAACATGAGAAATGCAAAGTGCAAAGTTCTTTCAAGAGTAGCATTATGAAGAAACCAGACAAGTCTTACTTGCACAAAGCTGTTCACAAGTAGGTCCATAGGTACACAAGGACTGTACCTGCAACCTGTTTCAGGTAGAAACTGTGAGCTTGAGTCCTTGAAGAACAGACCGCGCTTACGATGCACTTGCAACAATGGAGTTCCGTGGCCCCGTGCAGATTTTCAGAAATGGTTGAAGCTCCTTAACGTACTTGCAGGGATCCCACCTGGTGATCTCTAAAGTGAAAGAGCCTGTTGTGTCAGACCGGATACTGGACCAAACAAGGGAATCAGGATCATAGCCTTGATTTCTCCCTGTGCTCTTTGCAATACACAAACTGCAATAATTACATCCAATCTCTGTGCATCTCTTGTTCCATGCTATGCAATAAAATGCAAAGCCTGCACTGAGTTCTTTGATGAACCCTACCCATTAATTTTTCATCTCTCCCGTGGTACAAAGACCAAATTGATGATCCTTCCCTTTCTTACTGCTGAGATCACCCTTGAACACCCACCTGGATAGAGAAAGTCCTGTACGAAATGTTGAGATCTAGCGTGTGGATTAAGCACCCATTTGCTTTTCCCATTTCAGTACGACAGGTGGAGGAAAACCAGACATGTACCAATACAAAACCAGGAGTTACTGTATGACAATTTTTTATTTATCAGTATCAAATTACATAGCAAAGTAATGAATGCAGTGTCAGATCACCTCTTTGAATACTGTAAATACAAACAAAATCCACCATATTACTTAATTATCCAAAGTAAATTAAAAGTTTAAAAATGTGCGTTTCAGAGATTCCATTTGGCATATCCTGTCAATATATCCTGCATAAATATTTCTGTACCTCATTTTTACTATGTGTACCTTAATACAGCCTCTAAAAAGCTCACATGGAGGAGATAGGATCTATATGTATGTTTATGTTCATCACCAATTCATACATCTGCCCTGAAATCACTGAAAGTACCTATCTACTAGCTCATCTGACAGATGAATGTGACTGTACCTGGAGTGGCCAGACCCTGCTCTCACGTGCCAGACCCAAAGCTACTGGCAGCAGTGCAAGACAACTGAATGCATGACATCAGGTCTGGATCCGGTCCTTAAATTACTGACAAGATAGCTACTCACTTTCATGGATGCTGGGCTGGATCCGATGGCCGGATCTTGTACACTTGTATATGTAAGGAAATTCTTGAGACATTTACACTGCTCCTTACACTAGTGTGACTCCACTATATAGAAGTAACAATTCTTTGTTTATAATGTTAAGTGACAAAGTCAGGTCTGTTGATATCATGTAAGCTGAGTAGGATTTGGCCACAGCTGGATACAAACAAGGCAATTCAACCAAAGTATTTTAATGGTGTTAATCAGCAGTGTCATTTACAAGGGACTTCCTTATAAACTGTGTAAATTGAACAATTTATCCTGATGGATGACAGAATAAGCTTCACTTAGCACTGTTTCCAGAAGTTAAGACTACTGAGACACTGTAGTGGTATGAAAAGGAAAACACCATAGAAATATATATTTTGGTTAGAATACAATGAACAGAAGTACAGAAGCGTTGATGCAGGTAATTGGAAAGGTGAGGAAAAGGAAGGAGGAAAAATTTAGGCAGCAATCCCATGGCAACGTGGGAGTTACTCTTGATCCCTCCAATTCACCAGTATCAGTGGAAGTCAGGCTTCTCTGGGAAGGTGCAACCCGAACGCTTGATAATTACGCTCGCTGCATAATGTCCAGCCCGGATGCACTCGGTCACTGGCCGGTCATAGACGAGCTGTGAGAGAAAGCCTATGGAACAAAACAAGAGAGGAAGAGAACGAAGAAAATGGTCAGATTAGGGTTTTTTTGAGTGTATCAGTTTGTCACAGGGCAAAGCACTGCAATACTGGCCTAACTGTACGTACACTGCCTAGTTTAAGTGTGTGCCTGCTTGAGTGACCTGCTGAGTTGGAGTGCTGCTGCTGTTATTTCTACCTGAAGTCTCCATTTGGTCACTTCAAGTAAATTAAAGATCATCAAGACTGATCTTTATTAGTGCCTTCAAAATGATTTTACCAGAGTTCTTGCTCCCTTCCAGACAGAACTCCTGATTCCTCAAACTCTATTTTAAAAACAAAGCAGCAGTTTTTTCTGCTGAAGAGAACTCATTCTGTTCATACTGGCTACAGCTACAGCCCCACACAACTGTCACTCTGCAGGCTTTTCTCAAAGAAAGAGAAAGGCACATAACAAATGAACATCATCTATATTCACAGTTACAGGTGTTTGTAATGATAAAAAGGTGAGAAATTTTTACCTGAGAAGGAATGTGAGATGACATCTGCTGCCCTTGATTATGGGAAAGTTAACCTAAGACTTCAGAAAGAGTCGGTACCTCTTAGCATGGTCAGATAGCCACGTAAACAGAAACTGTAGGGAGAACCAAGCACTGCTCAGATCGGGGCACTTGGCTGCCTGCTTGAGTTAACAGAGCCCTAGAATGCAAGGCTTAGAAAACCAGAAATCACTGGGAGCCGAGTGTTTTGAAAATCAGAGCACCTCTTTAAAGGAATATAAGCAGAGTCCTAAAAAGGTCCTTGGAAAAGTTAAGTTACAAATGTCACCACAGATCTTATGGATTGAGTCCCTCATTTCTGAAACATTTTGTCTTGGCTGAAACTATTGAGATTGAAAGCACAACGGAACTTATGGAAGGGGTGAAATACATACTTTAAATTTGGAAGAGGTTTTCAAGATGTGAAGAGTAAACTGAGTATCTTATAATTTAAAGCTCTACTCTGTCGTTCTAGAGGTAATATGTTATTCACTTTTATCCCGTTTTTAAGATGTTTCAGATGTATCTCTCTTCCTCATCCAATCACAGAAGGAAAGTGAGACTTGCCCAGGAAATTCCGAATTCTAGCAAGCTGGAACACATTCTTTTTTTAAAGCTTTCATCCACCATTTCAAGTTCCCATGTCATGGTCTGACAGGCCTTTGGCCTTGACAACGCAAACCTAATATTGAAACCAGGTCTCTCATAAGTACTATGTATGTAGCTAATAGGTATCAATTTCTGACATATTACAAATTTTGATTCAAAGATGATACATTTTGCTAGCTTGCTTTCAAACACACTTTCTCTGCTCAGCTTGGTTACTACTAGAACAAAGACTATTATACTGTGATGTTCCCATTTAACCTGTGCTCCTTTTCTAAATATTTCCTTTTGCGGCACATTAGAGCACATTTTTAGGAGATGATAAAAATATTTTATCCTATGCAATAATGTCTGCTCCTTGAAGATTAAAAATCATGTCAAACATGAAAAATAAGGTTAGATTAACAAAGGATAATGCTGGTGAGAAAAGACCCCGTTTTCATGAATTGCCAAGATTCATCTTGGCTTCTCGGTCATGACTGATAGTGAGAAGAAGCTTAGTTGATGTATAGTTTTCTCTAAACTGCACTGAATGAGAGAAGAGTTTGAAACTATGAAATCTATAAATCAAATACTTTTCATTGGAATACGGAGGCTGTAGAAAGCAGGCATTTTAGTTGAGAAGTAGGAGAAAACTCATGTGTTTCTGACATCAATACTTTTCTAGAGAACTACATATTAGCTGAAATTTCAGAGGTACTGACTGACACTAGCTGGGAAAAAATGACTGCTTCACCACCAGAAGTTGAGTCCATAAGCACAACTGAAGAAGGCAGGAGTTTTCAGTATACAAAGATGAGAATCTGAAACAGGATGAGATTGTGCTGTGAGTGCTATCACTGGTGGCAGTCAGGGATGACAGACAACACAACTGTGGCAGGATGGTCCAGCTGTAATAGTTGGGTAACAGTTGAGAAATTCAAACAGCATGCCTGGCAGAAATCAGACCATTTCTGAATAACGAGATGAAAATGGTCTGCTCTCCATTTAATTAACATGCATTCTTAGGAGAAACTTTCTTGGATACGTGGAGAATGTCAATCATCAAATTTAAACTGCCTGGGAGGCAGGAGCTTGCCAGTGTGCTTCTGGGCGGCTAAAACTTGAGAGCAAGTTGTAACCGTATGTAAAATGAGGCTGTTAAGACAGTCCATTTCTGACTCAGTAAGTATCAAAGATGCACTGGGCAGGCCTCCAAAGGCAAACACGAGGCTAGGTTTTGTGCAGAGATGCATTCAGAGAGGAGTTTATACAAGAAAGAACAACTGTCCTCTGTGTTTATGATCAAGGCATCAAACATTTATGAAGATAAGAAAATCCAAGAAGCAAAGACCCGTAAGACATGAATTATTTTTCAATACCAACAAGACTGAGACTGTCATCACCTCCCAGGCTCACTGAGGTTTCAAGCTAGTACGTATCTTTTGTCTTTAGTGAAGCTACTTCTTATTTATTCTGATCTAAGTGAAAGCAGAATCAGGTGAAAAAAACATCCTGTTCTAATTGGGGATAAAAATGAGAGATGTCTGTGATTTCACAGTGGTGGAGAAATGACATTAAGTACAGCTGTCATATATGAGATATGTAGAAACTGCAGTGGGGAGTTTGCCCTCAAACCATTCTCATCTGTTGAGTTTCTCTTAAAAGGCATGTGTTTCATAGATGAAATAGAAATAGCAGTATCTGACACAATATCGCATTGAATGACAATACAAACACACATATCACAAACACAGAACTATATTACATACTAAGACTAGGTAGCTGGCAAAGCAGACCCCGAGGGAACACCAGAAAGCACTGTTGTTTGAGCAGGGAAGCAAAGAGCTCTAACAGGTTGGCTGCCTTAGCTGCAGAATGTTCTTTTTAGTTAATGCTGTAAAAAGCAACATGGTCAGAATATAATTCAGAGTTTGCCTCCTCCAGTGTATAAGGTACTGTGATGCAAACCCCATGAGTCATACTCTAAAGGCATGGATTCAGATCTTTGAGTTCCAGATGAAGAAGTTAGTGCCCCATCTGTTTTTCACCATCCTTCTTTGCTGCTTGTATAACCTGATACTCTGTCAAAATGAGCCACATTAGTTTAAACAGTAAGCTGTTGAATAGTAGATCTTTGCTAACCCAGCTGATTTAAACTGAAGTGGGTTAGTGAGTACTCAAACAGCTCTACCAGCGAGCAGGGTGGTGGAGGGAAGACAACAAGCATTTGAAGGCTGTAATCTCTTTAAGGTGCCATGACTGGAAATGCAAAAAGATAAGTGAACATGGCTTCAGACTTACTTCACATTCCTCCTACAGTTTCACAGACAGAAAGGACAGGATTGAACTCTGATCCTGTATCACGGGCCTGGAATCACAGAAATAGATCATCCCAGCACATACTAAAGTAGCTCAGCAACTATTTTAACTTCTGCCACGGCCTGAACTAGTTCCTGGCTATCATTGGAATGCAGTGCAGAAAGGAGTAGTATATTTTGGCTACACAAGACAACCTCACTTCAATAATTTTATCAAAACAACTTCAGGCGATATTGTCTACCATCCTCTAATTGCAGCTATTCTGCACTTAGTGTATTTCTGCACTCCTGAAGCTGTGAACAGTGTTACATGCACTGTGTACTGTTTGTTCTCTTTACACTAAAACGCAAAGACAAGAACCAAACTCAAGGCTTTCCCACTTGTCTGCCTCCTGCCCTGACATCCAAAGTGATTATTGTTTATGGAATAAGAGAAACAGCAGTTGCAGGATGTCTAGCATCCTGTAATGGTAGATGGCTGTAATTAGCCATCTCGGTAAGCTTTCAGAGTAGGTTGAGATGCCTTTTGTGCCCTGCAGGCATGGACAGCCAAGTAACCACCTTGTACCTAGTCACAGTAAGAACTTATTTGGAACTGTGTCCCATTCATCCCACTTACCTTCCTAGAAAGCAAAGACAGCTTTGCTTCAAAAGCTGCTTTAAACCTTAGAGTGGTACAAAATGTATTTGCATTCCCCGATCACAGAAGTGATTATAACACACCAATAGCTATTTTTGGCCTATAATTATTTCTTTTCTGCTCAGCAGAAAAAAGCATCTCTGAAACCACTGTGAAAAGTGTGCCTGAAATAATTGAGAGTTAATCTTTATTATCTCCAGCTTCCTTACTACATGTGCTCAACAACAATGTTTATAATTGTTAGGTCTGCGAACAGAATGAGGGACTGGAAAGTCAAGTTGCTTTCTTCTTTTTTGTGCCCACCACCAAATGAAAAGTTCTGTGAGCTAAGTGCCAGAAGTGGTGCTTGAGCCTCAAAATTGAGACCCAAACCAAGGCCCTCACTGAAACCAGCACAAATCTCTCTGGGGATGTCAATGTAAGTCTGAAAAGACACAGCAAGTCAGTCTACTGACTGACACAAAAGGTGTTGTGTTTGTTACTTCTAAGAGCTCAGTAGCACTTAAAATCATTAAAGGAGAAGCAAGTTAATTTTCTTGTGGCCCACAAAATAGACATATCAGAGGCAATTGCACTGAAATCAGTGATTTCTTTGAAAGTTTTGTTTTCTGAATATCAGTGGTAATCCTGAATGATCGCTGAGCACTAGTGCAGCTAGGGTAGGAATGTGGGAGTCCAATAGCAGAGATTTTAAAACAGTTCTGGTTTGCTTCAGTAATGATTTAACAACACTTAAAAACAGCTCATATTGAAGCCAAATGTTTCATTTCAAATTGTACACTTGACAATTAATTTTAATGACTGTTAATTACTAATGCTGGCTGGAAATCCGTTTATAGCCTCCGACACCCAGCGCCCCCACTACTCGTCTTTCTGCAGTTTCTCTCACACTTCCAACCTTTTATAAAATGCCCACAGTGAAATGAAT